TCATTTTTCTCTTCTTTATTGCCCCGGCACTATCTCGTGACCAGTAGGCACTTAGTGAATGCCTCCTGAGGGAATTTATGTTCAAAAGTAATGTCCCTAAGAAATTGAAGTTATCTGACTGTGAGCCATCAAGAACTTGGGCAGCAATAATGACTGCAAATCAGCGACTGTGGTGTACTGTAGCCGCAGAATTTGTGTGAAAAAAAGTAAAAACAAAACATGATGTTTCATGCGTCACAATTCATCCTGTTCTGCATTGCAGCCTGTGTGAACCTGGCCTGGTGATGTGGGTGGTGCAGTTAGTGGGGCAAGCACAGGATCTCTCCAGCATGGCCACACGAGGTCTGTGTGTTTAATCTTGAAATAACCAAGGCCAGTCTCTTGATAATATTCATGATTCTATGGATGTACGACATCAATCTGTTGTATCAATTTGCTTCATGAATGACAGAGTCCTTCATAGGTAAAGACTGATGATGGGTGAGCCCCCTCAATTGACAACAGAGCTAGTGTACAAACACACTTACAGATTATCTGTTTAGAAATGACCTTGAGTTCAAAGAGTTAACATGAGAAAATATGGGCATTTGCTATAGACTTTATTAGACTTTAGTCTGTTTCCATGGAGCTGTTGCCAAGGCACACGCAGGAGAAATTTCTCCAAGACAACGTTTCACTCCCTGAAGGCCCTATTCTGCTTGGTTGACATGAAATCTATCTAAATCCGAGAAATTCAAGTAATTTGTAGATTATTTTCTGACTAGTTGGAATATCTGTCTTTACTAAAACCCTCTGACCTCAACCATCCTCTTACCCCAGAGGATTGCCAAGAACTGGAGGAGCGGGGGACTAGGTTAAAGATCACTTGCTTTATGAAACCCAAATTGAGACAAATGACGAAGGATGTCCTTTCTGATGTCCGCATTTGTATTTATTACGGAAAATTTTAAAGAATATATATATCAAACCACATTTTGTTACAACTGCAATGAATCATTTAAAAAGAATAACATTCACAAAACTGGAATGCTTCTGGGAAATAGGAGGCATATGATCATCATTGTATACAGAGAATACCAAGAAAAAAACCCCCATCACAGCTCGTTCATTCATTTCTTCTCTAACACTCTACAGTGGTGTCCGGCAGTGATGCAGGCCCCACAGGTGGCAAGCCCTGCGGCGATGTCCTTGCCGCCCTCCAGCGCAGCCTCCTGGAGGACTCGGGCTCCCTGCGCTGTCTGCGGGGCCCCTCTCCCTGGGCTCACTCCCTCGCTTCATTCCCGTCTCTCCTCAGTCGCCATCGGTTCAGAGAGGACTTTCCTGGTCCTTCTTTTGAAAAGATTAGCCATCTTCACACTCTATCTCTTTCTCTGCTTTATTTTTCTTCACAATTTTCATCACTACCTTCCAGAAATCAGGCCAGAGGTCTGGGACTTCGATGTGTCTGCTGCTGCATCCCTGGCGCTAGGACTGTGTCTACTGAAAATTCAGAAAAGAATAAAACTTACACAAAAGGAGACAGTGGCAACCTCCAAAAGAGTGGCCTCAAAAGAGTAGCTAAAAAGTCAAACAGTCACATCAGTGTTTCAGGCCCGTAGTGAGTTCCTGTAGTTAGAAGAGTTCTTGCTGCCGGTAGAAACATCCACATCACCACGTGGTTTGCAAAGTGTCCGAGGGTCCTCTTAACTAAAAATATCGCCGCCCACTTCTCCTCCTCATTCCCTCGATGCCTGGAATTCCACGGAGTAGTTCCCAGAAATCATACCCGCTCTGACTGGATTAAGGCAGCAGGCTACTTGAGAGGGCCAACGAATAATCAGGACTGTGTTGACCTGGTTATCCAATCAGGGCCCACCAGCACTTGGAGAAAGGTCCAGAGCCTGAGCCTCCGGGGACTGGGGGAATCAGTGACAGTGAGTCACCCTTGACACAAGGGGGCGGGAGAGAGCAATGGTGACGGAGTGGGGAGCCTGAAACAATCTGGGCTGGGGAAGTTCCCTGCCTTAGGGCATAGCTGGGTGTCTACAGCAGAGGGGCTTGCGGTCTGAGAGATCAGGGAGGGATTCCTGGCTCCTCCACTCGGGGATCCTAAGGATGACCTTGGGCAGTGTTCTTTATCTCTCTGCACGTATTAAAATGGGAATTTTAAAACCTGCCTCAAAGGGTTGCCATGAGGAGTAAATGAACTCATGTTTATCAAAGGCTTAGCCTCATACCTAACCCACGTATGTGCTCAGTAAACAAGTGCAGTTCTGATGATTCAGATGCTGCTGCCTCCGCAGCTCATCAGGGCCCGACTCCCTAGGAGGAGAGTCACCTCCTCAGAGCACTTCCCGGTCGCTTCACAGGAGAGCAGGCTCTCTCTCCCCTGGGCACTCAGCCGGGGCCTGGTTCAAAGTACGCACTGCTCGCTGCCACGAGCCGTTGCCCTGCGTTCATCAGGTTCCATGCCTCAGTCCTCCCACAGCACTGCGCACTCCTGGAGGGAGGAACTGGGTCTGGTGTCTTTGCCTTCCTGCGGTGGCCTCACAATTCCTTGTACGTGGTAGCTACCCAGTAAATAGAAATCGCCCCATGGGCGAATGCCTGAAAACACTTTATCAATTGTTTTATAACCAGTGATTTTCACAGCCTCTTGTAAAAATGGCCTAAGGAGCTCATCTCCAGGGTGAAGGGAACATAATTTAGGACACTAAGTAACCACTGTACTGGGTCTGCGAGGTGAGGTCGTGTGGCTCGGCCTCTCCTGCGAGGTCCGCCGGGGGCTATTGGGATGGGCAGCAAATGCCCTTTGAGAAGCAGCTTGACTGGCCTGAGCAGAAGACTGAACTCTAAACTGTAGATTTCAGCCCAATAAGTGGGTTGATGCTAATAGTCTGTTCACAGAAAGGGAGAGACCTAATTTCATAATTATCGGGGCAAGAAGAAAGAATCAGAAGATTCTAAGATTGAATCATATGAAATTGCCATGTTAGTCAATCAAAACTGATCAAAAATAGGCCTTTGCAAATGATTCAACCCTCATAGTATACTAGAAATCTGGTCGTCCAGGTAATGTATCCATAGAATACAAATTATCACACAGTCTAGCATACCATGAGAGAAAGGGACCATAGACTTTCCTCTTTCTCTTCTGTTCTGAGTTACTGATTTAACATCTGTCCACCCACCTCCCATCACAGCCAAGGTCTCATTTCGGCAGCCCAGCTAAGGAGCAAACATGACCCATACCTGTGGACGCACCAGATGGGTAACTGGGCCCATGGCAAGGGAAGGGAGAGGGCTGCTATGTCCTGGAGCGGGGCCAGGCTGCAGCTGCCGGAGGGGCGGGCAGGCAGAGGACCGGCAGATGGAGGCTGGCCTTCGGGGGCACAGCAGCCTTTGAAGTCCGGGCTGGTGGGGGGGTGGGGAGCGCTCCGAAAGCAGGAACTGCGTTGAGGTTGAGGTTGAGAAAAAAGGCACTACACTGGACTTGGAGGGTGCTACCAACAGACCTTATTTCTCTCTACTTGCCTCTTATAAACTCTAGATAGTGCAGATTGTTATGAAGTGATTTTTTATGAGAAAGCGACATTACCAGAATCATAAATGTTGTGTGTGGCAATGATGCCACTGGTACTTAATGTAGGAAAAATTTTCCCGTTGAGCAGTAATGGGCCTCCTTTGTCCTCTTGACTTGGCCATGCAAAGGTCAAGGCTGGTCCTGGGGTGTCTTTGGAGATGGGCTTTGATGGCCGGGAGGGATTTGGATGAACCAGATGGCAGGACATAGCAAGACTAAAGACGCGAGGTTGGCATTTCCAGACCGAGGTGAGCAGAGTAGGGGAAGAAAGCCCGGATCTGCTCTTTGGATGGCATGGAGGGGCCTGGCCCGCAGCCTTGGCTCTGCCCCCCTCTCACGTGTCATCTCTCCCGTTGTCTCCTCCCGGGCCATTGGTTCCCAGCGCGCCACACTCTCTCCTGCCTCCTGCTGGCACATGTGGTTTCTGCTCCGCTTCCGCCACCCTCCCTCCTGTGACCCCACACAACCCCTCTGCCAGCTCACCTCCTGCATCTTCCTGACATCCCCCTAGGACATGTCCTCTCTGGAAAGTCTTCCCGAGGGCCTAGGCCCTGCACTCACCCCATCACGGGGCCCATCACGTACTTTGAAACTGCCTCGTCGGTCTCCACCCGACCGTGAGCTTCTCGCCTGAGCTGAGAGAAGGTCAGCGTGGAAGTGGCAGAGAGGGCCAGTTTCGTTTTATTCTAGCTTAATCCATCTTGACCCTTTGTGATGATCACAATTCTCATAGTGATATTTGGCCAGAAGAAAAAGTGGAGAAAACATAATATGGTCAATAGAGGTGGTTTGGTGTAATAGGAAAAGAAACGTGCTTTTAAAAAATTTATGTGGGTTCTTGATCTCACTGCTCTGGTGTGTGTGTGTGTGTGTGTGTACACCCACAGGTGCAAACACAGGGGTGGACAAGGGCCCTCATTTACCCACTCACTACCCTCATTGGTAAAACAGAAGGCTGGGCTATCAGTGTTTTTAAACCTGGGGACCCAGTAAGTGGGCCTGGGCCCCCTCCCTGCTAACCTGAAGAGCACCCGTCCTTCACATACGAATTGAGATTACCTGTAAAATGTTATCCTAGGGCTTCCAAACCTGAACAAAAAAGGCTCCAAGTCTCGGGCTAGAGCTCTCAAGACCTTTCCAGCCCCGACTGCTGGGGTTCTGCTTCTGTAAGAGGAGGCCGCCGCTGGGTCTTGGGAGGAACAGGCACCACAGAACCCAGAGCGCTGATGGCGGGTGGAGTGGACTGAGGCTCAGGGGCCCGGATGGTCTGTGACTCTAAGTATCTTTCTTCTTCGCCTCCCTCCCAGGTACTCGCTCCCTGAGACGTCAATGCCTGGGCATCTCAGATCTTGGCTGTGGGACCCCTGAATTTATTTCAGTGGGGTGTGTGGACTCTTATCCCATCACCACATACGACAGTGTCTCTCGGGTGAAGGAGCCTCGGGCACCATGGATGGCGGAGCACCTCACGCCCGATCTCTGGGGGAGAGACGCTCAGCCGCTGCGGGTTGGCAGCAGGAGTTCAAGGTGGAACCGAAGCGATGAGGGCAGAGCCACTACAATCACTCAGGTGGTGAGTGCAGCAGATTGCGTCCCTCCCCGGTCCCCAGCCCGGCTGGCTGAGAGGTGCCTGGGCTGGCAGCGCCTGTGAGCTTTTGCCGAGTTGCCCTCTCTGTGGCTTCTGGCAAGGCCTGGACAGTTTGGTTGATGGGACTCAGTGCCTGCCATATGTCCCATGCATCTTCCAAATTGTCTGTCGTCCCCAGGAGCCCATTGTTCTTTGCTCCCCGTGTCCCTATCCCAGTGTCATTCAGGCTTGTGACCTGTATCCTCTCCTTTCCCCTATAAACGTGGCCATTCTGTGTCTCATTTCCCGGTGGCTCAGCTTAGTGAGGTGCTCACTTAGCATCCTGACTTACGACATCAACTTTTCCAGGGGACATTTCTGGCTGCTGCATCTCTCTCCCTCCTCCACTGCACCATAAAGTTAATCAATTTAATCATCCCCATTGCAGGATCATCCCTCCAGGCAGGAGTTATCACGCTCCTTTGGCACATAGTAGGTACCCAGCAAATATCTGTCTATAGATGAGACTTTCTCACAGGAGCCTCCTGGAGACAGTGATGCATGGTAGGCCTGTGGGGTGCTGTGTCCTGGGTTGGAGGATGCTGCCAGCCACGCACCCAATCACATCACCGGGGTGGCCTCCTCCGCACCCCTGTGTAAACCCCTTTCTGGCCTGTGTGTGTGTTCCAGGGTTTCACACTTGCCAGAGGATGACTGGCCGTGAGTTGCTGGAAGCACCAGGGGATTTCTGCAGTACGAGTATGATGGGCAGGAAGATTTCACTATCTTTAGCAATGACACGCTCTCCTGGACAGCTGCAGATAATGTAGCTGACGTCACCAGGAGGGTGTGGGAGGCCGAGAAGCATGAGTTACAATATCAGAAGCATTGGCTAGAAGAAGAGGGTATTGCCTGGCTAAAGAGATGCCTGGAGTATGGGAAAGACACCCTCCGAAGGACAGGTAAAAGGAGGGAGAACACCTTGTTCCCGCACCCCCAGAACCCTCGGTTTTATATGTAACTTCCTCTAATCTAGGCTGTATGCCCCCTAGGCTGAAATCCGTCTTGTTAGGTGGACTGCCGTGATCTACGACTCCCCGTGAAAACTTTCCCTTGTTACTTTTTACCGGCATTTTGAAGAGACTCAGTGGTTCCACTTGAGAGAGTGGGACACCTCCAGGGACACCTCTTTTCGGGGGCATCGAGTGAGGCGGACTCTCCCGTCTCCCGTCCGTGACGCTGGGAAATACGTGGGGCGGTGGGGCGGTTCTGATGAGTTGTTTAGTGACTGAGGGCCCGCATTCTCCCAGTATGAGTGAAACTCTGGACTGACAAGCCACACAGAAGGTCTTTGCCTCACTAAAGAATTTCTGATAAGATTTCTTTCAGTGAAAGGCTTCTCTTAAACATTAATGGTGGGCTTTAATTGGCCAGCTTTTAGTTAATACGGAACTTTTCCCTTACAATCGTAGTCAAAGTGAGTTACACCTGTATCGCCCCAGAGGAAACTCCTGGACACAGCATGCCTTCTCCCACGGCGGTGGTCTTCAGGGGCGGGCCCCCAGGGGGCATCTGGGCCCCGTTGTGAACATGGACTCTCTTTCCAAGAGCCTTGGAGGCAGAGAACAAGAGTTTGAGCTTCCACCCTCCCATTCACTAGCTGGAAAAGTGTCTCGATTTTAATGGTTGCCGTGAACAGAAACCCACTCGAACTGGCCCAAGTGCGACGGAGGAGCTGTTTGACAGGCAGAAATCAGGGCGGTGTGGGGACCCGAGGAATTGGAACCGAGATTTGAATGGTTTTCTCCGAGGGGAGGCCGTGGCAGCCAACACAAAGCTCATGTCTGCGTAGCTTCACCATTCTAGAAGAGTGGGCTTCTCTCCCCCAGCTCTAGTTGCGTTTTTGCAACTAGATTCGAGGGCTCACACTCTTTGGAAAAACAGGGAGGAAGCCTGCACACCTGGGGTGTGCGGGAAGAATTCGGAAGTGTAACTTCAGTATATCTGCTCCCCGCCCTTCCAGCCTCCTCTCTCTCTAATGGGGTGTCCTAATGGGGTTTCAACCCTTTGGTCAACACTGACCCCCTGGACAAGGACCTGTGACCGTTTCTTACACACAGCCACAAAGCAGAGTTTCTCTGGGTGGCGTCTTATTTCCTTTTCAATACTGGAAAGCCTTTTTCCCCTGCTAAACTGCATGCCACAGGAAACAGAAAAGGAAGGTGCTGTCAAGGTGAACGCTCCTTCCCGTGTGCTGGTGGCAGGCAGCACGGGAGGGGGTGGGGAAGTGAGTCCGAGACGAGCGGGAGGCAGCCCCTCCCAGGATGCTGTTGGGCTCCATGGGGCCCCTGTCTGGATGTGACCCAGAGTCAGCAGGGAGCACTGAGGACAGCACCGCGCAGCACATGAGCGGGACGGTCAAAGGGAAGCAGGGTCGAAATGTATAATTCTCTGTCGCCACTGCTGGAGTCCCTCCGTGATACGAATCTCTGTAGCTCCTTTGAGGAGTAGCCATGACTTGATCTGTTCTGTGTATGTGTCTGATGACGATCACTGCCTTAGTCTGTTTGTGCTGCTGTAACCAAATGCCCTCAAGCTGGGTAACTCACAAACAACGGAAATGCATTTCCCATGGCTCTGGCGGCTGGAAGTCCAGGTCAGGGTGCCAGCGTGCTCAGGGGAGGGCTCTGCTCCAAGTTGCAGTCTGCTGACTTCTTGCTGTGTGCCCACGTGGCGGAGGGGGACTGGGGACTTCCCTGGAGTCCCTCTCATAAAGGCACTAATCCCAGTTTTGAGGGTTCTACCCTCATGACCTAAGCACCTCTCAAAGGCCCCACCTCCTAATACTATCATCTTTGGGGGTTAGGATTTCAACATGTGAAATTGGAGGGGGTGGGGAGGAGCACAAACATCTGGACTCCAGCTGTCACCGAGTACCTGCTTGAGTACACAAGGTGATTCGGAGCCGAAGCCGAACCGAGATGGCTGTGATCTCTCTGCCCTAGCACAGACTTGAGAAAAAGGAGTGCTGAGTTCTGATCTCCAAAGTTGTGCTGAATTACTCATCACAAACAGTCACATACAAATTCTGTAGCTCCATTACATGGCTCAACTGCATGTTCATTGTTCTGGAGCACACTGCCCTAGCAGGAAGTGCACAGTAAGTCAGTTTGTTGTCCGTGAACCTGGGTTCCGGGTCATCCTTGGTTTTAGATGTTTCCTGCAGTGAAGAAAATTAATTGGGAACCCAGACGCCAATTTCTAACATTGTGTGTTCAGTACATAAGCTGTTTCTATTTAACTTTATCTTTTTCTTCCTAGAGCCCCCACGGGTCAGAGTAAATTGCAAAGAAACTTTTCCAGGGATTACAACTGTTTTCTGCACAACTCATGGCTTTTACCGCCACCCCCGCCAGAAATTTCCATGATCTGGATGAAAAATGGGGGAGAAATGATCCAAGAAATGGGTTATGGAGAGATTCTCCTCAGCGGGGATGGGACCTGTCAGAAATGGGCATCTGTGGAGCCGGATCCTCAGAGCGGCGACCTTTCCTCCTGTCACGAGGAGCACTGTGACATCCAAACGGTCCTGCAGGTCCCTCAGGGTAAGGACAGGGTGTGGCTGCCCGGGAAGGGAGACCACGCAGGGGGGTGAGCAGCAAGCATGGGTCACGGCTGGCTTTAGGATGGGTCTTTTAAATCAGAGGTTATCTCTCTGTTTGGTCTCAGGGATTCTTTATGTTCTTAAAAATTACTGAGGATCCCAAAGAGCTTTTATTTATATAGGTTATCTCTATGGTTACTTACTGTATTAAAAATAAGTGATTTTTAAATTTAAACTCACTCAAGAAAACACGGCACATATTGCATTATCTATCAGACAATGGCGTCATCACCTGTGACATAGTTTCTAGAAAACCCTGTTGCACATGTGAGTGATTAAAAAAAGGACAGTCATGACTCAGGCTCACAGACTCTCTGCAAGGGTCTTGAAGACCCCGGGACATTCAGATCGCACTCTGGGAAGTACTGTTCCCCTGGGTGACCTAAAGATTCTTGCCCTGCGTGGAGCTGTGACATGAGAAGTGAGAGCAAGGAAAATGGTGGTGGGCTTCCCTGAAAGTTAGTATAGAAGGGGAGGAAGACTTGTGGATTTTTCCTCGTATGCTTGTTTTCAGAGTCAGAAACTATCCCTCTGGTGATAAATGCTGTCTCCGGGTCCCTTGTCCTCACCGTTGCCCTGGCTGGCGTTGGCCCCTGGCCCGGAGAAGACAGCCCCGAGAAGGTAAGAAGAAGAAGGTGAAAGGCCTATGGCAGGGATTCTGCACCTGCCACTCTGCTCTCCACTTATAAACGAGTTGGGCCTCACACTGGGATCCCAGCAGGACCTGGGACACCTCTCCGACCGAGTAGGGAACACATGCTGTGGGTAATGTTTGCAAAGGGCATGGTCTGCGTCTAGGCGGTGCCGACATCAGCAGATCAGCAGAGCAGCAGAGCAGTACGACTTCCATCCAGGTGAGCTGTCCTCTTAGACGTGGGCCAGAGAAGATAGTGTGATCTTGATTTGTCTTTTTCTAACTCTATCTGCATTATTTGTTACTATCAACATATTTGTCCTTTGTTTCAAGACATCAGTAAGCTTTCCCATTTTGACAAACATTTTCTGACCCAATCATATGAAAGTTCTCTTCCTTCTCAATTCATCTCTCAACACATGAAATGTTGCAGAGTAGATAGGTACCTTTGGAAAATGGGACTCAGGGTAAGGAAAAGGGGAAAGAGAAATGGGAGGGACATGGGCTCTTGGTACCTTGGGGAAACAATTCGCTCATTCCACGTATATACGTATTAAATACCTGCTGTGTTCCCGGCAGTGTACTGGAAGCTGGGACACGGCAATGTGCAAGACAGACACGACCCCTGCTGTCTTGTGACGTCATCTCCCCCACCCCTGGTTTCCGCAGATGCTCTAGTCGATCACTGCACAACACTGATGAGACCTGGACTATGGGTTTGAACCCAGTGTGGGCCAGGAGTTTGGCATTGCTTCGTAACCACAGACTTCAACCCCAATTCAAGTGACAGGGAATCAAGTTCATTATTAGAGCAAAATAAAAAGAACCCCTTTACTAGGAATCAACTCAGAGTTAGCAGATCATTCTAATATTTTCCATATGAAGCATAGCACTAATCCCAATCCAACAGATGAGAGCTGCTGAAGCAACAACAACAAAATTTTTTTTTACAATGACATACCTGTATCAAGTATGGTACACACTGTGAGTTTCTGCTTTTTATCTTGTGGAGTTTGTGAATTTGAGTTAAAATTTGTGAGTACTAAAAGAATCTTGGCAAAGCAAGCTATAAATGTCTATGCCAGCATCTCAGATTTTGCTGAACATTGCATAATTTTGCGGGCTATAAGAAAAAATGCACATATCTGACTAAAAAGTCTTTCTTTCCGAGGAAAGTGGGGTCATCTACCTTCCTACACCAGGTCAAAGACTGGGGCTAGCTCTTGTCCAGGTATCTTTCCTCCAGGGACCACGGTCTCTCCTCTGTCCCCGCCGGACTCAAGTCCGCCACTGCCCAAAGCTCTTGACCACACCCTCGGCATACATGGGTGTTATGGGGCTGAGCATTCGTGGCAGAAGGATAGGAGTCCCAAAGTGTTCCTTGTTCTTTTGCTCCCAAAAGACTGTCAGCTTTCAGGCTCTTTTGATGGACTCTTTTATCACATTTGGCTCTAAGTATAGCTTGTCTCATGATACAGCACTACCCTACATCCCATCTGTCAACGATGATTTACAAGGAAATCAGAGAATCTCAGAGCTGGAAGGAACCTTCCACTTGAGGGCCGGAAATGTCTTCTCCAGTCCCTTTGACTTAAGCACCCAGCCTCCACTTGAATGCCACCAATGAAGGGCACCTCGCTGCATCATGAAGTGGCCTTTTTCTTCCTCCGTGAGAATGTATTACGCGAGAGCTGTGAATTGTGGGTGCCACGACTGTGGCCTTACAGGCAGTGTTGGGCCAACCTATGAGAGCAGCCAGCGAGTTTCTGCAATGGCCTGTGTGTAGCCACATTGTTTTATGTGTCTTCTGGCCTGAGAGAAAGTCTAATTGTCCTGTTCTTATGGCGTCTCTGCGTGGTAGCTTGGGATCTTGGAAATATGCCTGGTCGGATCTATGGAAGTGATCTCATCCTTTCTGTCTTTTGTGGGAGAGTCAGAACAATAATCATCAGCCCCAACTGGTGTGACTCAGTGGATTGAGTGTCGTCCCACAAACCAAAAGGTTGCCGGTTTGATTCCCGGTCAGGGCACATGCTGGGTTGTGGGCTAGATCCCTGGTTGGGGGCGTGCAAGAGGCAACTGATTGATGTTTCTCTCCCTCCCTTCCCCTCTCTCTAAAAATACATAAATACAATCTGTTTAAAAAGAACAATAATTTTCAGACATATTATCACCTTCAATGAAATTACAAAGACCTATACCCAAGTGCAATCTTTTAATATAAAAATGATAGTATGTTCACAGAATAGAGTTGGATTCTAATTCCTGTCCTTCCTCTACTGGCTTTTTGTAGATGGGCCTGACTCACTTTACACATGCTCATTCTCCATGCTTATTTTCCATCCACTGAGAGTAAACACAAGCTCCACTGTAAGAATTAACACCCCCTTGGTTCACCTTCTGTACCCCTAAAACCTTCACTGTCGTTCACCTGTTTGCCTGTCATTTCGATGCTCAGTAAGAAGGTCACATTCTACCAAAGGGAGATGGTGATGTTCTTCAGTAAGTTAAACACGAGGTCACACCCCAGGACCCTGAAGTCCCCTGGACATGAGATCCCTGGAAACACTCAGACTGTGGGAAGCCCACAGTGTGCTCCCCGGAACTCCCCAAGGCTTTCACTGCAGCCTCTTCCTCAACAAGTGTTATTCTTGCTTCCCCCCAGTTGGCTTGGCTGAGTTAACAGAGCACCAAATATGGCCGCTCACGGGAGTCAGGAGACAAGCACCGGATATGCCATCATGTGTGTCTTTATTGTACATCTCGTTTGACTACAACACACAACTCTGTCCCTTTATTTCTGGCTCGTGAGCCAACTGCAGACATGAGCAGGGCCACAACTAAGCCTTATGGGACACTCGTTCCAAATGAGAGAATTGCTCCCTTCCTCTGGGTGGACACTGACCCAGGCTGGGTGGCATGGCCTGGTCAGCAAACTGTGGGATGGATTTCCACCCCGTTTGCCCCTGTGGTGCACAGGGCACAACATTACATGGCCACTCCGGTCGCACTGTTAGGAAATCAGTGGAAATTGGCTGTAGACTAAGATGAATGAATTGATTTGGAATGGACGGGTATCAGTGGAAAAAAACAGGTCAGTTTATTTAAAACAGTAGAACTAGAAGCCGTGTTTGTATATCCAAACAGCTAAAATTATCTGAAAGGTTTTACATAATCCTATCGTGGAGTTTATTTATGGCGATCTATTTTTAATTTTTTGTCATATTACTCAGTCTCTTTGCACCATGCCTTGTATGTAGTAGGAATCCAGTAAATACTTCTTGAATGAACCAGTACAGTATTTTAATTAGCTAGGCCTCGTGTACTGGTGCAAAAGAACAGTGTCATCTTACAACTGAAATCATAGACGGGAAATATCTCACTCAGGATCACAGGACATTCCAGAGACCGGGACGAATGCCCCAAGGGCTAGTCTGAATGCTTCAGTGGTTTCTACAGCATTAACATTATTCACACTTTGTCTTGTCAGTTGCCTTATCTGTAAAATGAGGAGTACCAAACATTCTGAGCACACTCCTCCTCCCCACACACATATTAGGGATAAAGATGGAATGCAGAGGTTCTTACACAAGGCACCAGTTTTCTTAAAGGCTCTGCCAGGAGAGGTGCTAAGAAATGAGTTCTTAGTCATCGTGGGGCCCCAAATAGCTGACACCTAATTAGATATCTTTTTATTCTTAAGGCCCGCAGGGCGGTTATATAATCTACATCTTCCTTTTTCTCGTTCATGAACGTTCTTGAAATACCAATTTCATCTGTTCTTATCCACGACCAGGGGAGCCTGAGACACCGCTCCTGCCGAGGACGGATCACGTGTGCGTCTCCTCTCCCCTTTCTTCCCTGCACTCAGCGTTGGCTGAGCCCACCAGGCCGGGCCTTCTGCACTTGTCCCTTGGCAGGGGTTTGGTGTGAGGGAGCGTTTGGGACCAGCAGGTTCTGAGCTGAGCCGGCTGGAGCGGAGGGACTGGGTGGAAGGCCGGGCTGGCCTGCAGCCCTGGCAAGCGGAGGCCGGGTCTGAGGCAAGTGCGGCGGCGGCAGCCAGACCTCTGAAGAAGCAAGCCAGGGCCAGAAAGTGGGGACGATCAAGAGGAAAAACAGCTTCTGAGGAAACAGCTTCTCGAGTGGAAAATAAATTCAGGGAACAGGAGGCTACAGACCAAAATGGGAAGCCACCAGAATGGAAAAGGAAGCGAAACCAAGACAGAAATGCAACAGTCAACCTCAAGCTAAAGCACTCCTTGCTTCCTTTTTTTTTCCTCTTCGAGGCATATCACTGTGGGTCTAAGGGCATCGGTTACCTGGACTGAATAAAAGCCCCATGTTTTTCTGGGTAACGTGACAATAGCATAAGTGGAGAATTCTGGGAACACTTCAAGAAGACGCAAACAATTCTGGGGATATTTGGAGGGCTGGGAACAATCAAAAGTAAAATATGTGGAGTCTCATCAGCTGCTGAATACAACCCTTGACGTGCTTTAAAGATCTCGTAAAGCCTGTCCTCTCTTACTCACAAAACGGTTACAAATACAGGTCCGTGCATTACACACAGCAGGAAGCTGCAAACCAGATGTAACCCCTGAGGCTGAGTGTTTGGGCTGCCCTCCACCCTACTTTGAAACGACGGAATTAGTCATTGATCCCTGAGGATCAAGGAGGGTTGAAGACACAAAGGCAAGCTGCTCTAACCCAATTCAGGCCCTTGCAACTGAAAGGAAGGTCGGATTTCAAAGATTTGTAAATTTGATCACTTGAAATCAGCCTACATGATGACGCATTTATAGGCCCAATGATGAAATTTTTAAGGATTGTCCCCTGCCCCAAGGAGTTAGTTTCTCTGTGTGTCACTGTAGACACTATATTTTCATTAATGCCATGGATTTTGTGTTAATAAATAAATGAATAAACCTACTAATAATCTGCCACGGATATTCACATTAGTCTCATGCAGCCTTCGTCAGCTGGTCAGCACTTCACAGAATGCACGTTTCCTGAGGCCCAAGACTCCAGTGCCTGGCGCACAGGAGCCACGCGATCAATACATTTGCTTATTGGCAGAATGAATTGCAGTTAGTACCTCCTATGAGCCAGTCTATGTAGGCAACAGAGCCCCATAGAGATTGAAAATTTGTTTTGAAATTACCAAGAGCAGAAATGGCCCAGACAGATGTAGGCTTATAAGCAAATCAAGCTCCCATCACAGAAAATGATTTTGAGTAACATAATCTAGACTGTGTTTCCATAAAATAGACCCTGGGTTCTGTGTTAATAGAAGAATTACAAGTCTGAGCGTGACTTTTGGTGGTGATGCTCAGAAACCCAGGTTGGATGGAACTTCCGCGTGAGAGGGAAGGGCCTGCATATAAACATTCTGTTAATGAAAGGGGGGAGGGAGGGGGCAGGCCTGAGAGAGCTGAGGCCTGAGAGAGCTGAGCCCTGCCTCCATCCCCGCAGCAGCTGGGCCGGGCTTCCAGGACCCACAAGCAGCTGTGAAGGCAGCATCGAGGAACTCCAGGATCTTCAGCGACACAGAGTGAGTCCTGATCCTGTATTCCCCTTGGCTGTCCCCAACGGGCCCGTCCTCAGAATCAACTCCCTCTCTAAACGTGTAAATGCTTTTCGGGTCTCCTGTTCAACTGACACTGGACCGCTCTGCGTTGCTGTTACCTGTTTCTGCCCTGCTCTCTGGTCAGACTATACTCGTAAACCCTTAAAGGACACAGTTTGAATTCCTTCACTGAGTAGCAGGGGATCTTAAGTTATTTAACTTCTCAGCCTCCATTTTATAAAAACAGATTTGTAACTACTGATCTCCCGGCATTAGTTAATGTAGAAATTAAATGAGGGGTGTGTGTGTGTGTGTGTGTGTGCAGACAAATTGCACAGGGTGTGGCACATGCCAGGTCTCTCGTTCTCCACGTTCTCTCCAGGGACTTACTCCCCGTGATCATGGCTACTATTTATTGAGTGCTTACCATGAACTGGGCACTATACATTTGTTATCTCTATTCCTCATAACAGCTTGTCAGCAGGTATTATTGTCTTCGTTTTGCTGAAGTCCAGGTAAGTTACGTTTCCTGAGGAGGTCGCAGTCAATAAGTGGCAGATGCACGAGTCAGACCCGAGTCCTTCTCTGCACACAGCTCGTGCTGTTTCCAGTGCACCACCCTAGCGGCACACAGTAGGCACTCACTTGATGCTTGATGAAAATTCTTTCACCTACGCAAAACTATGCTCTCTAGTGAACCTTGGGAACAAAGGAATAAAACCTTAGTGAGTCAGGAAAGCAATAAAGTCCCTTACAAATCTGTGAAAGGGTGAGTCTTTTTGCTCAGCCTTTGACGCTGTGACTTAAATGCTGAGCAAGTCCTGAAGGGCCGAAGGAAGCACTTGGGAGTTGTCACACGCTTTACAGAAATGTCAACGAAGGCCATGGGTAAGATGCATTCCTTGTCGATTCTTGGCATCGACAAGGAATGCAGCTATCAGCTGGTGCCCAAAGGGAAGATTAAAAACATCTCCCCTTGCAAACAAGCTCACCCAGGGCACACCCAGTGGCACACAGAATTGTGGAGCTGAAGGGTCATTTCGGGGGTCACATGGTTCAATTCTCTCATGAAAGAAACGGAGGCTTGGAGAAAGTGAAGGGATTTGCCAAAAGAAACCATGAAAGCAATTATAAACTTCATTCATGTCTTTACAAAAATATGTTTGACGTGACTAGCCATTAGGGAAATGCCAGTTAAGAGCACAGGGAGATATCGCTACACACCTATGAGAACAGCTAAAACAGAAAGTAGTGACGACACCGAACTCGGAGGAGGACGTGGAGAAACCAGACCACTGGCCCATTCGTTGTGGGTGGGAACGGAGAATGGCACAGGCAGTCTGGAAAACAGTCCGGCTGTTTCTTAAAAAAACTAAATATGTACTCACCCAGCAGTCACACTTCTGGCAGCTTCCCTCAGGGGAATGAAGTTATGTTCACCTTAAAATCTACCTGTGAGTGTTCATAGCAGCTTTACTTGTAACAGCCCGAGACTGGAAACAACCAAAACATACCTTCGGAGATGAGTGGTTCAACAATGCTGCATCCCCGCTGTGGGATACTACTCAGCAATAAAAAAGGAACAAGCTTCTATATATGCAACAATTTGAATGAATCTCAAGGGAATTATGATGGGCACAAAAAGCTAATCTCAAAAGGTCACACACTATGATTTCATTTTTATAACATTTTCAAAATGGCAAAATCGGGTGACGAGCTTAGATTGGTGGTAGCCAGGGTTAGGGCTGGCGGAGGGGAAGGGGTGGGCGTGGCTCTAAAGGGCAGCACCAGAGAGAGCTTTTTGTGACGGCGGTCCTCCGTCTGCACGGTGATGACAGCGGCGGGGTCCCACAGACCTGCACGTGCGATAAAATGACATAGAACTGTGCACACTCATTGTATCAGTATCAGAGTCTTGATTTTGATATTATACCATAATTATACGATGTAACCATGGAAGAGATTTGGCAAAGGGTATATGGCACCTCTGTGTGCTGTCTTCATGCTTTCCCGTGACTATAATGATTCAAAATACATTTTTTAAATTGAAGGACAATGAAGCAACTCATTTCTGTTATAGTAACTTGTAATTATCTGGCTTATATGAAACTATGCTCATATGGAAATTGGCCAAATACTAAAAGTGACTGACAGCTGAGCTTGTTAAAGTAACCTGTGCCTGTCATCACAGCTACCCGAAAACTTGTTTCCAGAGGAGTCCCATTTAGTTTGCAGTCAGTACGTTGTGCATTAAGACACTTAAGGGGACCCATTAACAGTAGAATGATTGGGAAAGGCTGTACTATTAGAGTGAGGTCATCTCACATTGTAACATTAACAGTAACTTGTCTGGGAAGTACTGGAGGCATTTCCACCGGTTTAAATCCCCATTGGAGGGAAGGTGCGAGGTATTTGGTGCCTGGGTCTTGCTGCCATCTTTCACAATTTGCCTGAGAATTCTCGTCACTTGCTGGCAGCACTCAAGGTGATTTGAACGTTAAGCCTCTTTTTGCACAGGAAGGGGACTTCCACTTGTGACTGATTACACTCGAACTATTCCAATTGTTGATTCTTGAGCTGGTTCCCTCGGAGCAGTTGTGTCTAGCTGTTCACAGCTGCACCCTGAGTCTATAGGCAAGTCACCCATTTTCTGGGGCTCCCAGTGACCTGGGAGTGTGACTAACGCCTCCCATTGTGTCTGTACGTGTCGTCCTAATGAATGAACTTCCATTAGCTGTGTGTTTCCTTGGGGGTAGTTCCTCATGGAATTTACTCACATATGTAGTTGGTCATGATGGCCACAATCTCAACTCTGCTTGGCATTTATTTATAAATATAACCCTGGTCGGTTTTCTCCGTAACAGTGATTCTGAAAGTTCCTCATTCCTTCAAACTCCCCGCTGGTCCCACCCCATTTGCCTCTAACTTCACAAAGGAAGTAGAGGTTCTCAGAAGGTCCTTAGCTCCCCAGCCACAAGGGGACCCGAAACCCATCTCCTCGTTACCTGCTTTGCCTCAGTCTCAGTGGGGGTAGTCTTCTTTCGCTCTGGGCTGGCCCTCACCCTAGACTCCAGATCCCGCCCTTTGCTGACTCCACTAAGGCTTCCCCCACCAGTTACTCGTCTCTCTGCTGTAGTTTCAACTTCATAGACTCATGTAGGTGTGTGTAGAGAAGGGCAGAGATTTCACAGCCAGCCAGACCTGGGTTTGAATCCCACCTCCTTTATTTACTAGCTGTGTGGTCTTAAGAACTTTATTTTTAATTGTGGTAAAATACACACAACATAGATTCACCATCCTAACCATTTATAAGTATATAGGTCAGTAGTATTAAGTACATGCACACTGGTGTGCAACCCACCCCCAGAGTGCTTTTCACCTTCTGCAACTGAAACTCGAACTCATTAACCACCACCCTGTTTCCCCTCTCCCAGACGCTGGCAACCACCGCTCTGTTCTCTGTTTCTGTGAGTCTGACGGTTTTAGGCACCTTGAGGAAGCGGAATCGTACCGTGTTTGTCTTTGCAACAGGGTCATTTCACTTAGCACAATGCCCTTGAGGTTTGTCCATGTCGCAGCACGTCTTGAGCAAGTTTTAAAAACCGTCTCCAGACCCATGTCCTCACCCATCAGCCCCACGCCTCCCCAAGGGCCGCTGAGAGGATTGAGATGGGAACTCAGTATTGGTTGGTTTCCTTTTCTCTTACTGCCTGCAGCCCTCTCCCGGGTAAAGATTCCTTGCCTTTCAACAGATCTGCCTCAACTTTCAGAAACCCTCCGAAGTTCCTGGATTTCTCTCTCCACTTGCCTTACTGCACAGTCAGAGTTAAGCACAGCTATCTGCTGGCTGCCTCTACTCCTCACTTCCACCCCGACACTCCGCAGGAGGATTTCTGTATGTCACCGCCACCCCAGTTATCCCGTCACTGGGGAGGTGGCCCGGACACTACCAGCGGTCCTATCTTCTTCTCCGTGCAGTTTCACTTGCCCTTTCTGCGATGCATGACATGAATTAACATCACCGAGCAGACTTCCTTTGCTGAACTCTTCTGTGGCTTCCGCGATGCCACCGTGTGCCATTCCGAACTGGTCGGAAAGTAGTCAGGGATAAGGGGAACAGAGGATGTGTTCATGTCCTTCTGCTCACTCACTCGACAACTACTGTTGGAGTGCACTCTGTGCCAGCTCCTGCCCTAGGCATCAGGCATACTCCAGTGAACAGCGCAGGAAAATGGGGTGCCCTAGGTTCTTTGAAGGGAGATGCTACTTCATTGAAGGTTGGATGGTGGCTGGAGCTCCCCTACCCACTCCCACCTTTCTGTTCGTTGTCCTCTTCTGCAACTAAAAGAATAAACAGCTCAAACCTCTTTCAACCTCTTTCTCCGACACCATGAGCCTTGGCCCCAAGCTCTCCCCTTGCCCGCTGCCCGGCATCACAGAGGAGTTACCTTTGCCCTCTGACCCCACCTTTGTTCTTGCACAAAGACCTATTGTAGGACTGATCACCGCGAATTTCTTTACTTCCACCTGCCTGTCTCCCCTACCAGGAGGGGAGCTGCGGGGAGGCACCGCTGGAGGGGGCCACACAGTGCCAGGGCCATAGCAGACAATCAGTGAATCTTCATTGGATGAATGAAGTGGAAGAATTTAAGCTCATTAGCTACAGTATCATAATGGCTCTTTCTGTTCTCTTACGTTTTGTCAGTTTAGAACCTGAATGGTAGGGATTTTAATAAACCCCAGAAACATGTAGGAAACATCTCGTCTCCTTTTTCCTTTAAATATTCCTCCCCTGCCACTGATTTGGCAAATCTAGGCTGCTCTGTCTTCCTCGTTCCTCTTTTTCTAGAGTGTTGGAACTGGAAGGGACCTTAGATAATAAACCTCATCATGTCACGGTTTAGGATCCTGAGGGCTATGAAATACCTTGACCTGCACAGGGTCACCTGACTGGCTAGGAGCGAAACCCCACGGGAGGATCCGATTCCT